GCGTGAGACGTCGTCATCTCTTCTCGCCACATTTTCTCGCTCGCTCTCAGTCTGTATAGTCGCACCCTTACTCGAGAAGATTGGAGGTTTAGAGCTAAAATCAGGAATTGAATATTGTGCAATCGCGTTCTTATTTATCTCTGCTATTAGAATATACCACTAATAAATGAATTTGAAAATTGAATTAAACTAATTCAATCATTTAAAATTCAAACACGTTATTTTATAAATCATTTTAGTACCTTAATACTTTTATTGTGTTGGGCGTTATATTACAGTTATTTTCTAAAGGCTGTGTCAGGACTCCCATAGAAAGTAATTTTTCTCTTAATCTATCCGTTTCTGTCGACATTAAAACAGGAGAAAACTCATCAACTACGGTTTTTATGTGCTTCTTTTTTTATTTTTATAACAATTCCACAATTTGTCACTTTTCCTTGACCTGAAACCCTGACTACCTTTATATTCTTTACAGAATACTTCCCAGGCAAGTATCTCTTTTCTATTTAGAAGAAATAGCATTTGTCTTTTTATTTTCTAGTATTGTCTTATAATAATTCCTGTACTTCCTTATGAATTACGTAAAATTACGACGTGCGTTGCTTTCCATTTGTATTTCCATCATTTTCTATATACAAGTACTGTACGTATTTGCTTGCAACCAATCAAGATACCCGTTACGAAAGAAGACTTGTTTAATCTCGAATGCAAGATTGTTTTAAAACTAACTCCAGAGCTATGAAAGAATAGAGTTATATTTTTATTTGAATACGAAAGACGATTAATCTACAAAAGATTTAATCTGATTTCGAGTTAGATCTAAACTGGGATTCATCAACTCTTTATTTGGCTCAACCTACAGAATACAGCCGTAAAAGTAAAATGAATGTTAATTGGTTAAAACTCCTCGATTCTCTCCCTCCCCGTCTGAAGAAAAAGACGATTTTCGCTGCGCCTCCATGGTAACCATCTGAAGAAACTCTTAAAAAATAAATTGTTTTTATGCTATTTATTTATTTATTTTAAGACATATTACATATACGAATTTGATATTCGAAACCCATTTGAGAATTCGGTCATGAAACTAAAGCTGAAATTAACAGTTGTGGTTAGGTTTACACTTAATTTTTTAAATATATATATATATATATAATAGCATAGTTATATTAATTAATTGCATAAATATGCATATATGAATTTATATACTATAAAATCTTAAACTGGAATCTTCTAGCATAAAATTTACAGTATAACAGTGTATTTATTAATAATAATAATGCGTGTTCTTCAACTGAAAATAACACACAACCGTGCCCATTATAAACAGTTTGGGTGGAGAAGTTACCTATAAAATACCTTCACGACAACAATGAGAATCAGATATGTAAAATAACAGTAGATTCCTTAAGATAAGAACCACTTTTTTTATTATTATTATTTATTTTCTAGTCCATTGTTTTTGAGAAAAATATCGAAAATGTCCGGACTTTCCTGTTGTTATTAATAAAAATTCTATTATATATTAATGCGGTGATAACCCAAATGACACCCACCCTATATGGTTCCTTCTATATTTTGTTTTATAGAGTGAAAATTAAAATGATACTGGTCATATAAAAATATAACTTATGGTCGTTGCTACTTTCATTGGAGGTGACCTGCATAAAGGGGATAAATCTAGGTCATATACAAACAGTATGTAAAATGCAAAGTAATTGTGAGTTACTAATATGGTAAATACTTAAAATATGAATTTAATGCTGAAATATTCGATAAATTTATGAAAAATTAAATTTAAAAATTCAAATGAAAGTTTAAAAATAAATTTTTCATAAATATTTTGAATTATTGTATTAAATAGGTTTAAAAAAAACAATCAATTTTTATATAAAAAATTGCTTCAATGTTTTAAAGTTGTCTGTGGCGCCATCTGTTAGTCGTAATTAAAATTCTTTATCAAAAAATTCAAATTATATCACTATTTTCGTGATAATTTATGTTATAGTGTACTAATTTCGTAATGTTTAAAATACTTAATGATTTTAATGATCTAATTATTGTAACTGAAAAACATTTATTGAATGTATTAAAAATTTTCAATATTCACAAGTTTCTTTAATTGCTCCTTTTACAAATATTTCCTGAATTAGGTGAAAACAATTGCAAATTGTAACGTAATAACGATACATAAACAAAATTAACGAAATAAATTTGTTTTTGCTTATAAAATACTTTATATATAACAAAAATTGATTATATTACTTTACCGGCTGTTATAACATTTGTTTGTTTCTCATTTTGTTGAGAAACAAATATATAACAGAGGGAAAGTATGGCGATCGGTCAAAAATGACCCCAAGATTTTTACATTTTTTGGACTCAGGCCACCTTGAAACGTCGAGAAATGCAAAAAATTTGGGGGTAATTTCTGTATGTATGGACGGTGGAGGAGGCACGAATTTGTTCATCTGTTTGAAGCTTAGTAACTCCTGCGCTTTATGTCGAAAATTTCTGAAATTATGCAAGGAGGTTTTGGTATTAGGGGCATCAACTCTATTAAATTTTGGTGATTAAAGGTCGAGGGGTTGGGGAGATAATGGAGGTCGTGTGTATCTTGAGTAGGGTCAGACTTAATGACGATTTTATTTGGTATTAGTATTTAAAATTTCTTATAATACCAATCCCTACCCTCACAATTAAGCTTTTTGCCATTTTATAATAGTTAAAAATATGAAAAGTTTTTAAAATAAAACATCATACTANCACCTCTAATTTACAAATAACCAGACAAAAAGAAAATCTTTAAAATTTAGTCTTAGCTGATGCATTATTCTCATTCAACTTAAGAAATTTTTCTTATCTAAAACTTTCAGTAAGTATATTAGTGATTTCTTCATATAACTGTAACCTAAATAATTTCTACTATAACTTTATTAGTATTTTTTGAAGCTAAATTTAAATTATAAATCAATTTGCTATTAAAAAAAATATTATATATATATATACATATACAGATATTACAGAATTAAATTTTAAATAAAAAATGTTACTGTACCATGATAATCTAGGAACTTCTCCACTCTTTATACCTCCTTCAGGAGATAACAATGGCCCTAATGCTTTTAATAACTGTAATGGATCAATAGGAGCCTAGAAAAAAGCAGAGATATGTATTATAAATTATATAACTTTATTTCTGTCACTAATTAAACATAAATTTTTAAACATCTCTAATACAGTCTCCACCCTCAGGAAAGATGACTCACCCCCATAAGGACTTCTGTTCTAAAGAATATACTGTACTATGCAAAAATCTATTTCTAATTCCTCCCTTAAGACGTCTAAATACGCTACTTATCCAAAGATTAAAGAGAGGTTCGCGAATAAGCTTTTGTATGAGATTTTTTAATAGTTAAATGTAAAAAGATAAACAAACATATTTATTCATTTTTTAAAATTTTTGAAGAGGACATATTCCTCTTTACCCACACTAAATACACCTATAGTTTAGAACAGAACTTTCCAAAGGATTCGGTTTCAAAGAGGGTCGATGAACAAATTACGTAGTACATATTGTATAGGCACGTGTGTTTTAATAATATTTAATTATTTAGTAAATACAATCATTTAAAAATTTTGAATAACTGCGATTAGTCATAATTATTTGAAAGTATAAAGTGAGTTTATTATTAACTTAAAATAATAATAATAAGGATGATTCGATAAACTTTTCTGATGCTTTTACGTGTTAAATTTATCTTTCCGGGAGATTTCCTTTGTATGTAGTGTGACAATTCTTTATGATTAAAGGTGCGTAATTAAAAAAAGTAAATCCTGCTTTAAAATATTAATAATTTAGCCTTTAAAATTTTAAAAATATATTACTATTTTTCATCATAAGCTAATATTTTAGAAGGAATATTAATAATATTTTTATCTTTATATTTTACATACACTGTTTTTTTTCTGTATGTAATACTTTAACCTGTATATTTCCATATACAATGTCAACTGTATGCATATTTTTATCTGAAATATTTCTATAAATTAGGAGTAGCCAAAGTTCTTGTAATATTGATTATATATATATATTTTTTTTTTATTAAATTAAGAGGCCATTAATTTTTTTTAATTTAAAAATGACGTATTGTTGATATTTTTATAAAAATAACAACAAATATTTTACAATAAACAAGTTTTTAATTAGGAAAAAAGTTCAATGCCTTTTATTTTGAATATATTCCCAGAATAGAATCTTAAAATAGAAGTAATAATTTGTGTTTATTTAGTGAGCAACAAGTCTCTTTCATTATAGTAATAGAAAGTACTTGGATGTCGGGTCAACTATAAACTATTTGTCAATTATCAAGGACATCCGATACGTGAGAATGTCCGACAATGCGTGCAATTTCGTGGAATATAACTTATGCAAATGAGAAACTTTCATATTTTTAACATTAAAATTAGTAAGAGTTGTGTACAAAAAGTATTGCTTTTATACATATTAATCTATTATATAAAATTTTATATTTAATATAACCCATATAATGCGCCTCCGTTTTTACAATTTATGTAAATTTTATATTATAACTTAATGTTTTATTAATTAATTTGCTAATTATAAAAGGCCACGAAGAAAGCTATTTTAAGGAACATAACCACAATTTTTAATAATGGGCCTATGGGAAATTACAATTAGATTAATGAAGAATTTATTGTATAGGTCATAAAAGCGGCATCTATTTTATAATATTATTTTTAAATTACTAAATAAAAATATTATTATTTTTTAAATTAAAATTTAAGTATTAATTACTATAAACAACTACATTATATTATTGTAATAAAAATAATATTTTAAATACACTTATTTATTTTAATTATACACAAATAAAATAATAATTAAAATATTAAAAAATAATAATAATAATAAATTTAAATAAATCGGTCACGTGACTGGCAATAACGATTTTTAAAAAATGACGATGACGCAATCGACACGCCTACCGACGATGAGTCATCGTTCGTCCAATGGTAAAAAGCAGACCATTGACGTCACGTAAGTGAATTGTTGATGGGAAAAGTGTACACATTTTTGTAATGGCTGGTTTCGTCGAATTCTTTCAGAAAGGGAAGGTAAATTTAAAAACTTTATAAAAATTTTAAATTATTTACGTATTTAATTAATTCTAAAAAGTCAATTTTATTGTCTAAATAACATTTAGTAATACAGTATATTATTAATTTATGTGTATGTAAACATTTAGTAAACTGTATTCATTTTACTGTATATTGTAATTAATCTAAACATAATTAATTCATTTTCTATTACAATTAAATAATTTTAAGTATAATAACGTTTATATTTTATATACAGTATAACATATAATACAACATATAAATACTGTGTAATGTAAACAATACTATGTTGTACTTTAAAATCATGTTTTAAATTTAGAATTATGATCAAAATGCTTAAATGTATATAAATATATTCATGTAAACATGTGGCCTTATCTATAATAAGTTTTGTTTCTTTGTAAAAAAAAAAAGGAAAAGGAATTTGTACAGATGCATTTCGAAAACAGGTACTTTAAAATGCCTCTGGCCATCTTCTAACATTTGGCAGTCTTCCATTAGTTATTTAACTTTCTCCCTGATGACTTTTTCAAGTGATTAATGATTATAAACCTTAATTATTGTCTTGTATATTATGTTATCGAACTGCACGGTTTCCAGAGATTAATGTTTATTATAATCAATTTAATTTTATATCTTTCTTTTCGGTTAATTTATAGCTACAAACTTAATTAATTTTATCCTTTTTATTTATATAATTTTTATCACTTTTGTTTTTAATATTTTGGAAAAGCCTTATTTGCTATTTAAGGTCGTATTTTTATTTTTTCCTAATGCGAATAACTGCAAAAGATTTGAATAAAGTTTCTAAAAGTTTGTATTACTTTTAGTTTGTAATTTTTTTTTTGTAGGAAATTAGTTTTATGAATTTTGAAAATAAATTAATCAATCATATGATTTTAAAATTCAGAATTCAACCCATTTTAAGTTCTTTAAATTTTTTAAGTATAATTACTTTTCGTTAAAACTTCTAAAATATCAGAATTTATTAATATAAAATATAAAAATGGCAGATGTTAAATATAATTAATATTCAACAGTGATGAATTAGTTTATAAATGTGAAGTCATGCAAATACTTGGAAATCTTTTGAGAAATTTACATACTCTTCAATATGAAAATTAGAATGCAAATTTCCAAAATTTTAATTTATTATAAAGTATTAAATAATTAATTATATATGTAAAATTATTATTTTGAAGTGCACTAGAGCAATAGTAGTTTTGTTTGGTTGTGGGTTGGCAGCAATAAGAATTGTAGATGAAATTAAGAAAATAAAATAGCTTCAAATATAGAAATATTTTTTAAAAACTTTAATTTTCTTGACTTTTAATAAGTTAACTTTATTAACAATATGTAAGATGAATTTAGTAAATATGGAATATCAAAAATACAGGAACTTATTAAACTTATTAAAGTTTTATTATTAAAAGTATTATTAAAGTTAACTTATTAAAAGTTAACTTTATTAACAATATGTAAGATGAATTTAGTAAATATGGAATATCAAAAATACAGGAAGCAATCTGAATAATGCACGTAATGGTAACAGCTTAACCCAAATATTAAAACAACCAAAAAATAATTTTATAACAATTCATAATAAAATTATCATTTAACACAAATTCTATGACTGAGTATTATATAAAAAATTTACTTTAATATTTTACTTTTGTTAAAAAGAACCATTTTTCTCCTTTTGTTAGTACGAATGCTGTTAGAAATATTCATAACATTTACTGAAATAATAAACATTGAAAATATATTCTGTTCAACTTATCTCGGTTTATATATTAGTGTCTGACAATGATTTTTTAAAAATATATAGAGATTGAAAAATTTTCTTTGTACTTAATAATAATATTTTACGTTACACTATCGGAACCTGTGACCAGTGCTCTATGCGTATACGTTAAATATCGCGTGACAAACGTTTTCGAGCGTTCTATTTGCTCTTAAGTACTTAGCTATGCCGGCTAATTTAAATAATATTTTACATATGCAAAAATATAACTAAAAGGCTGCAGATGTGATAGACTAATATATGATGTTTATTTATTAAGCTATAATTAGTAATGGTCTGATAACTATGTGGGAATCTTAATATTTCCATTTAATCATTATATTTTTATAAAAAAATCAATGAACATCCTGAACTAAAGGTCTTTGTTATTTTAAACTGGTAAATATAATTACTTAATATGGCATGATCAGTAATTGTAAATATAAAAAGAGTCATCATTAATCATTGTAATAATGTAATTTATCATGTAATTTAATGAAGAGTTGGAAGGTCCTACTTCATTTAATTTCTCGATGACTTACAAAGTTTTATTATTTTTTTTCAATTCAATCATTACATTTAAATTAGAAATATAAATATTGATTTAAAATTTAAGACTGGTTTTATGAATAAATTCTTAAAAAAATTATATATATATATATAGACTTGTATCATTGTATATTTAAATTCTACAAAATTTATATTGCATTAAGAATTTATAGTTCATTTACAAAATATTTATAGATTTCTTTTACATTGCTAGCGTGATCACTAAAATTGCTATATAAATTAAACTTCACTCTGACACCGGGGATGAAATACTATTGCTATAATATAAAATTGCTATATTTTAATAGTTTTTTAAAAATTCATCGTATCGATAATTTATAGCAAAAAAAAAAAAAAAAANCGTGATCACTAAAATTGCTATATAAATTAAACTTCACTCTGACACCGGGGATGAAATACTATTGCTATAATATAAAATTGCTATATTTTAATAGTTTTTTAAAAATTCATCGTATCGATAATTTATAGAAAAAAAAAAAAAAAAAACTAGTAAAGTTTTAAATGGTGAGGATAAATGGATTTTTCTGAAACTATAATACACATCATTGGAAAATGTTTCATCTATCATTAGTGGTATATTGATGATACATACATAATTAATTTTAATACTTCTTCTATAATATACTGTAATTATTAGATATATTAACTCAAATATTGATTGTTTGATTAAATAATTTATTATTTTTGAAACAATTTGAATCTCTCCTTTTATCTGTAAAAGTTATAAAATAAAATTTGAATATGAAAAAAAAAAGGTAATGTTTATTTTTAAAAAATTGCCAGGATGAATTCACATTTACAAAAAATTATATTTCTTGAAAAATATACTTTTTTGTAAAGGTAACGTTTAATTTCAAATTTCCAAAGTTATAACATTAAAAAGTATAAAATGTCATGGAAAATAAGAGACTTGTTCGGCATTGAAATATTTTTGAAAATAGAAATTTCAACTATTTATCTTAAGTACAAGAATTAATGCATTTAAATCTATGGTAACTTATTGAAAGTTGACTTTTGTGTTTAATGCTATAGTAGTTAAGAAATTACAAAGAATGATGCATAGATTTTTGTAGATTTGAATCTGCATTAAAAGTTGGAAAAACTAGGTTACAACAGCCAATAATTACAATATTATATCTCATATATACTATTGTAATTGTATGTCTTTAAATATTATATCTGTCAGTAAAGTATTATTGTTTATTATATTTGTTTCATTTGATCTTGTATATTTCAGTTATGTTTTTAAATGTATTGTGGTTTATTCTACTATGTTCCATTAGGAAATTTGAAATTTCTTTACTCTTATGTAATGTGACATTCATCTCTCTGAATTATTTGAAGTAGGAGATGTTTTCAAATAGGAATCAAATTGCTACTTACTATAAATAAATTTGATTACTCGAAGAAAGCAGTTGGAGAGGAGACATAATGTTGTTTTTACAAATTTTAGCTTTAGTCAATAATCAAACAACAGTTTTGACGAGTAAAACTTTTAAAAGATTATAAGTTAGATATACAGGGTGAGTCAAAATTATGTGAACAATCTTGGGTGATTCAAAATTATGTGAACAATCTTATTTTTGTTTCATTTTCTATTCCGATTGGTCATGATGGACCATTGTTATGGCCTCCTCAATCTCTGGTGTTCTGGCACTAAATTATACTGTTGAACGTTGGTTTGAGTGCATTAATCGTGCTGGTGGTCAGGTTGAGACTCTGTATAATGCAAACTTTGAGTAAATGCTTTCTCTCAAATAATGTTCACAATAATTTTGACTCACCTTGTATATTTAAGGAAAAGAATTGAATTTCTACAATGAATAGAAATATAATTAAAGAGGAAAAATGGAGAAAAATTACAAAAATGAGGATTATTTCTCTGAAAGGAGGAAATCTAGTTATTTTATACAGTTTAGAACAATTATAGATGTTTAAAGTTATAGTTGTCCAGAATACAAAATTGAATCTCAGAAAATAATCTTCTGATTCGATACTGTATAAGAAATTTTCTATGTTGATATTAGCTTAATTAAAGAGAGAGAATTTGGATTTATGAATAAATTATGTTAAAATACTAAAACAAAAATTTACTTTAAAATATTTTAACTGAGAAATAACTTTATAACAAATCAGACTGAGTAAGGTTTTTATTAAAATATTTTAGATGTTACAATGAAATGTATTTAAAAATGGAATATCTATTTGTTTAGAAAATAATTTTAATGATACAGATACTTAGAAATAAATGAAGAACTTTGAATTTAAGAGTGAAATTTTCTGCAATACTTCATTTGTTTTAGTTATTTAAGTTTATTTGACCCAAATACTTGTTGAATAGCCTACTCAAACGTTAATGTGTATCATTATGTATTCAGTGATGACAATTGTAAATATTTGATAGAATAAATTGATTTTTATTTCTAAAACAAGACTTTATCCACTTTTTGTTTTAAATAGAATTTGACATGTTTTCAAATATTCTAAATGTTTTAAATTCAGAATAATAGGATGTCTGAATATTCTAATCTAATCTATAAATGATACTGTTTTGATTCAAACACATTCCAACATACATGTTAACTAAGTTAAGCTTATGCATGTATCTGTCAATAGTAGTAATGATATTCCTGAAATTATATATTTATACACAATAGGATATAAATATTATATTTATTCATTACATTGATTGTTTATAATTAACTTGTCAAACAGATAATATATATATAACCAATGGTCAATGACTTAAATTAGAAGTTATAAGAAATACCGTACTAGAAGTTTTGAAAACGTCTTGAGAAAATTGAAATATTTATAATCTATCATATGAATATTTTAAAAATTATTTAATGAAAATCTTTTGAACAAATTTAAAAGGCATTCTCTTTTGTATGTTATAACTGCACAATTAGTGGGTTAAAAAATATCTGTGATTTTATATTGTAAAAGCATAATATCAGACTAACAGTTGTTGAAAAAGAAATTTATAAATAGAAAAAGATATGTTTCCTTGAAGTTCTGTCACATCACAGTATTTATTTATAGATATAGAAAAGTTCAAATTTAAAAAGAAAAAACAATACTTGTAAAGAAAAAAATACATCTTTTCTTACATATTTTAGGCATGTTATTTTTTTAATTTTAGGTCATTTTTCTTTATATTACAAATTTCAAGGATAGGTAGATACTGTGAATTATGGCCCAGGCCCGTGACGAAGTGATTCAAATTACGTAATTTTGAAACTATTTAAATTTCATAATTGTGTGAGAATGTTAAAAATAATTCTGAGAATATTCACTATACCATTAATTTTTATTACAAGTTTTAAATTTATTATCACTAAAATTTTCTGTTTTTCTTTTTATTATTAAATTAATTCTTTTGAAATTATGTATTCGTTTTGTAAAATTGTTTAAAATACTTGTATATAAACTTTACTCAAAATTCATTCAAAATAAATCTTTGTGAAGTGGATAAATTAATTTTATTATGACAAAACTATGGCATTTCATTAGAAAACCTGTATTTACAAATAAGCTGAGCAACCTGTAGCTCAGGTCTCATTGTGCCATCCTTGAAAAAATTTGTGTGAATTGTCCATTAACTTGTGTTTATATATACATGATATTTCCTTACTTATAGTAGGGTTTTTAATAGTAAGAAGCATTGCTATTAAAAAGTGTAATATATAATTTTTGGTCTTTTTTTTTATGTTTGGTAAAGTAGAAGAGCTCTTCTGTGTTAGTTTAGAGCCACAATAAATCTAAATCTTATCCTGTAAACTTTATTTAATTTTTTGCATTTAATACATTGTATTTCTAGATACTTCAGTTATAAGTGTTATATTTTTTTTTGTATCAATAAGCTGTAGCTTCTCTGAAATGGATGGTGGTAGAGATATTAGAAAGTAATTTTGAATTAAGAGCAATATATTTAAGATTCTTGTGGTAACATCATTTCCAATTAATCTAAATTATGTAACTATATAAAAAATTGATCAATGTTTAATTATATTTGGAATAAAATATTTTTAAAATTAATAATAAATATGATTAATAATAATAATTAATATAAGATGAAATTTGTTTAAATGTAATTTTGTTTCAGACATTTCGTCCGAAAAAGAAATTTCAACCAGGAACTTTACGATATTCTCTTCATAAGCATGCCCAAGCATCACTCAGTAGTGGAATAAATTTACGTGAAGTTGTAAAACTTCCACCTGGAGAAGATCTGAATGACTGGCTCGCAGTTCATGGTAAAAATTTTTAACTATTATAACTTCTAGATTCTAATTTCATAATGAATAAGCTTTCTTGATAAAGAAAAAATTACTCAAGATAATATAAGATTGATAATTACTACTACAGATGTATTAAAGTGAAATAATTTAAAGAAATTCAAGCTCATTTTAAAAATAACAAGTAAGAAATACATGGAAGGATGGAACAAAAATCCCGAATACAAGTTGTAAATGGCGCTCATTTTAAAAATATATTTTAAATTTTTCAAAGTAGCAAATTTTGTAGTGAGCCACATTTTTTATAATGTACAGTTACACTACTAAATTTCTGATCTCCTTGTTCCAAAGCCTTGCCAGATTAATCATTTTTCTGGACCAACTGTCCTAGTGGACACGTATAATAGTAATTCAGCAACACATCTCTAACTCATCAATTATACACCTCCCATGTATCACTGCTAGAAATTTAAATAAATATTAAATGTAAATTACATTTGACACTACCATTGACACACTTATCTCTCCTAGAAGCCATAGCTAGTGTTAAATTTAAGGAAATTAAAGTAAAAATATTAACACCAAGAAGTGCAGTGTAAATAATGTAAACAAGCATCCAAAACACAACACCATCTGTGGTTGCCCAGTAAACTAGTTTTAAGGCCACAAGAATTTCAAATTTCCTCTTATAATTTTATTAAGATTAAAGGAGGTACTCCTCCTTCAGTTGTTGGAAACTTGATGGGTATACCTGTACTACCAATAGTTTAAATACTTGAATAATTCAAATATTGAATAAATACTCTCATTGACAAAGTTATACATCTAAATAGAATTGTTAATTTTCTGCAAAACTTAGTATATAGCTGTGAAAATGATTACAATTGTGATTTGATTGCATACCATTTCATGCCATCAGATTGCCTTAAAATCACTATCAAAGTATCCTATAAAGACTTACAGATGTTCATTGTATTTGGAATTTTCAGTTTAATTGTTGTTTGGAGGTCTTTGATTACTGGGCATGTCTCTACTGTGTATCTCTACTGCATGTGTTTCTAAAATATTACACACAACTGACGATTTTGAGAAAGGCTATGTCATTGGGCAGAATGGCTATTTTGTTAAATTGTTCATCATCTGGGTCATTCTGACCTGTCAGAAAGTCTTGGGGGCAGTGGATATATGAGAGCACGAATTTACAGCAGGCAGGTTCTGGATATTCCAGATAGATTACCAAGAGAAATGATTGTCCAGTTGTGAGACAAGCATTAACAGCTGCAATGGTGTCTTTATCCATTATCAAAAGATAGATGTAAAACCCTTTCTCTTCCCATACTATTGGCAGGCAACTAATAGAGGCAAATTTCTTTGCATGATAACTGCTCTGCATTTTGCCATTAAAAACCCAATATTTGAGCTACAACCATGTTTCTCTGTCACGACACTACTATAAACAAAGAAAGAGGCTTTGTTTGTAGTGGTTTGATGACAGAAGCAAGGACTGTTCAGGACAATGTATTGGCTTTAGCAATGAATTCTGGTTTTATTTGGAAATGAATAACCATCACTTTGTGAAGGACCATTGGTGAATGCTTCAGTCCTGTCTTTACAATTAAGCAGGATGCTGTTCCACAGCTGATATGCTAATCAGTCTGGGGAACAATCTCATGTGATAGTCAGTCATTCCTAGTAGTGATATGAGGGACATTGATGGCCTAACAGTATATATTCAAGAAATCTGCATCTTAATGTATGAATATAAATATATTCATATTGCTTAAACATTGGATGTAATCAATTTTTGAAATTCTTAGGTTTCTAATTCTCATTGATCTACTTTTTTTAACATATTTATATACCATATTTTCACAGATTGACCAACATGCTACATATAACCAGATGAGATAGGCATAGTTTAAACTGGTAAACCTAGTTTAAACTGCAGCTAAACTGTGATTGAAACATACACTGACAAAAGTAGTTGTTAAATGTTAAAGAAAACATTCTTCCAAGTACAGTAAAACAATAATATTGTAATTTGGCCAACTTATAACCAGATAGGGGGTTTTTGTTTACAGGGTAATAAAACAATTAGTGGCTTGTTGACATTAGCAGTAGAGCATGGTGAAGGCTGCACTAACAATCTCCATGAAAGTAATAGTTTTAATTCCTTGACCTCGAAAACAACCTATCTGCATTTATAAATAAATCTGATGTAAATCTATAAAAAGTTGAGATGATTTATAGTGAGTTTATGAAATTTTTTTTGTTTGTGTTATTTGGACCAAACTACAATAAAATAAACATAAAAAAAGCACCTTTGGCATTCCATAAGTATTAGAAAAGAAGGCAAAATGTAGAAATTGAGCATATAATTGTAGTTTTTTGTTGTGATGCCAATAATTTCACAATTTTACAATAGAAAATGGCATCTGTGAGATGCCACCTGACCTTAACTTGTTCACTTTTTGTGCGCCTTCTGGAAAGGAATGCATAATCTCACTTAAATGAACATGCCAGCATTCCCCTGGGTAAACCAGTGAGCCAGTTTTTACCAAATGGAAATATCTGATTTCATGATCTTCCAGATAGACTGATATGTTGGTCAATCTGCAAAATACATTAAATATATGTAACTGATATTTTAATTCATTCTTTTAAATGTGTAGGAAATAATCTTTATCATATTTTAACTAATTATATTTAACATTTTCACCTCCTCTATCTATTTTTGTGTATTTTTTTCTTTTCTATGTATTTCTTAAAGAATTTATAAAGTTAAAATATTTGAATAATAATTTTCTTCTGTAAAGCATTGTATAATTCTATAAATAGTTATTAGTACATAGGACTTATTAATAATGTGTGTAAATAATTATCTAAATGATTTATTATTAAATAAAATAAATATATATAATATAAATTTTAATGAAATATGCTTATTTTATGTTTACAGTTGTAGATTTTTTCAACAGAATAAACATAATCTATGGCATTATAAGTGACCACTGTACTGAACAGTCTTGTCCAACCATGTCTGGTGGTCCAAAGTGAGTATAGAATTTTGTTTTTATTATTATAAAGATAGCTCAAACATTTTGGTAAAAACCAAAACAATATGATTTGGCATTAAAATTGGAGTATGAAATGCAAGTAATAATTTTTCTGTTTAAGCTTTTTCTAATACGTTTTGAAAAGTTCTGTAATGCTATACAATATTGGCAAGTGCCAAATCCGACAGAGGGTGCTGTCTTTGAGCCAAGATGGCTGCCAAAACAGGTAAGGAACCGACCACGTGTTTGTTCAATGCCTGAGCTGATTCAGTTTCTATCAGTGATGACTACTGCGAGAAGGCTGTGAGGACCAAATGGAGAACAAATCATTGAATTTATGTCAAATTCTAGATTATATTGGCAACAGGAAATGTTGTCTTGTAGATATATGAGATGTACAGTACACACACACACAAAACATAATGTGTAATGTTTTTGACTGGCCTATATTGTATAAGTGCTGAATGACTCAGCAGGATAGCCTTCAGATTGGCATTAATTTTAACTATTATGATAAATAAAACTATGTTTTTATATTGGAACATGGTGTATACTGCTTAAAATATTTAAATATTTCTCACCTGTTAACGTGTAATAAACATGCTATTACATGTTTACAAAAACCAGACAGCCCCACTTTGCACGTGCATTCTCCCTGTAATTGAGATGTATTAAAATGCCAATATCTGAGGTTGCAACACTAAAGCAACAACATGAACTTCGGTGTTGTTGTTAGAGTTTAATCCACAAAATACGATGTGTCCAGCATCCAAAACGACTTCACCTTCTACAAGACAACATTTCCTGTCACCGATATAGTCTAGAATTTGACATAAATTCAATGATTTGTTCTTCATTTGGTCCTCGCAGTAGTTGTCACCGATAGAAACTGAATTGGCTCAGGCACTGAACAAACACGTGGTCGGTTCCTTACCTGTTTCGGCAGCCATCTTGGCTCAAAAATGGCACCCTCTGTCGGATTTGGCACTTGCCAATACATTAATATATTCAATAATGATCAATCTTAGATCATTGAAGTTTTTTAAATGACATATATTTGACTCTTATTCAGGAAGATTTTTATGTTTATGTTACCTTCAAAAACATTTCTTAAACTTCAAATATTCATTTATTATATATAACATCAAGTTGTATAGTACATGATAAAGGTCTAAAATTTATCTCATTAAGAAAGGCACAAGTGAGAAATGTTTTTTTTTTACAATTTACACTTATTTTATGCTACTGAATTATACTAGCTTAGTTTATACTACCAAATTATATTATCTTATTTATGAAAATGTTCTTAACTTGTACAGTAATCAATATTGATGAAAACAATTTTTATCAATGAATAATTATAATTAATAAATAGTTTTTTTAATATAATTATATAAATAAAAATTCTTAGGCAATTTTCAGAAAATTGCCTAAGAAATTGCCTAAAATCTGAATTTTGCATAGCAAATATTTTTATGGAAAAAATTCTTTCACTTAATCTTTAAGACTACTAAATTCTCTTATAAAATAATTTTTTTGCAGCAAAAAATAGCTTTTAATATTTTAAAATGTAAAAACAATTTTAGTTTATATTAGAGCAATCTCAATTTACATATATAAACTATAACATATATCGATAGGGATAAATGTTAAAACTGAATAAATGCTCATTTGTTTTAAAAGCAATGTAATGAAGGTATCGGTACTACTGACAAATTTAATTATGAATTCACATTTATATGTTATGTAATAAACAGAATGTATGAATTGATACAAAGTCAATATATTATTCATTTTCTTTATACCAATTCAATTACATAAAATACATATTTATTTTACCAATATATGAAAAAAAAATTCATGCATCAATTTTTTTTTAATAGAATTTGTTACTTTCTTAAACAGTGGTTTAACTACTTGTGTTTTTTCAAAATATGCAATGTGTTGCATTCTAAGTCATGCATATTTTAAATTTCATATAATCTATATAAAACTTTGCCATTTTAAACTAATGGTAAATGCCATAATTTGTTCTGTGCACATAAATATATCTGCAGCGTGTTAATAGGGTTAAAAGTGATGGGACACACTATACTAATAAATACTTTCAATACATAACATTTAAGATGAAATATGATAAAATGAAATGGTTTGATTAAACTAAAATTAAGAACAAATAACTAAGATTTTTCCAAAAAAAGTAATTTACTCTTGAAAGCTTCTCAAAAACATAAGAACATGAAGAAAAGAAGGTGCAAACTGGAAAGGAGGAAGAAAGAGTGATTAATTGGTAACAAAGATTTGAGACAATTATTACGCTTTTTTAGCTTTAGTTCAATACTTGTGATATATTTAAAAGTTTGTAAATAAGTCTTAGTATGAATTATAAATAAAAGTTTTTGTGTTGATTTGTCAGTGGCTTCATCTCTGGAACTGGTACATCAAGAGAATAGTTGAACTTAACTATTCTACAATGTGTTCATTGCAATAAATTTTCAAATGGTTGATATTGCCAAAATAATGTGTCATTAGTAAATATCACCAATAACAGTTAAAGAATGTAACTGTGCTACACGTGTAATTTTGCATTATAAATGTATTTTGAACAATGTGCAATAAATATTACTTTATTGTAACAAAAGAGCAACAAATTTTCCATTTGTTGCTCTTTTGTTACAATAAAGTAAAAATGTTCTGGAAATCATTGCCACCAATTAAACAATAAATACTCAGTTAAAATAGAAACAAACAATACATTTCTGAAAATACGCAATAAAATAATAAAATAAATAAGTAAAAATTACAGTATGTATAATATAATATACAAAATATTGTAATATTTACATTTAAAAAATTCAATATTGATATTATGAAATGAAAATAACTTTTTTGATTAGAATGTAACTTGTTGTTCTCAAATTTGATATTATAATTAACAGCAAACATTATATATTGATATCTTCATAATATAAGTTTTTAGAATAGTCAATAATTTCAATGCATAATGTTAATGGAATAATGAATGTATTGATATCTAAATATCATTTTACTTTGAAATAAAATTGCTAACTCAAGGTGTACATATCATTTGTGTTATTCTTGAGTCTGTATTGTAAGTAATCAGAAGTTACAAATAAGTTTTTATATACTTAAAACTAAAATAAATGCTAATTGATTAACTTTTAGCTCTGGTTATTCTTTCTTCATTGTGATTGCTATCATTTGCTTTTAAATTACAGTAGTAAGATAGAGTATTATAAGGAAAAGATACGTAGTTCAATTGTTTCTAAAATAACTAAAAACTCAATAAATTATTTCAGTTAAATATAACAATTTTTTAGCTTATAATAATATCTGGCAGAAAAAATTGTTAAACTGTTGATTGCTGAGATTATGCATTAAAATCTAGTTGGGAAAAGGATGTTTTTATTTATTGATTGTAATGGAGGATTAGTGTCTAAATAGATTACTTGTGCATAAAATATTTGTTAGCATACTTGTTTAAATAATAAAATTAATAATAACCATAAAGCAAGAATAATTTGAAAACTTTATAAACTTTGATCTATGAAATCAGTAAATCATTTATGTATTGATTACTTTAAACATATTTTGAAACAAATATTTCTCTTTATTTTATGGAATAAAATAATTCTGATATCTTAAAAGGTTTTGTAAAATAAAATAGAAAAGGAAACAATTCTCCTTGAATGTAGTTTTTATACTTTAATAAAAATGCTCTTAATAAATATGCATATTAATTTATTTTTTAAAAATATTTTAAATTGTCTTTATTTATTAATTAAAATAAAAATTAATAATCAATTTGGTTAATTATATTACTAATTATGTTTATAAATAAAGCAAAATTTTCAATTATATCAAATTATTTACAAATAGAATTATTGTCAGAATAATTTTTCTATAATTAAGAATTCCAAAAATAATAACATTTTATAAGATTTCTTAAAATCAAAATTCAGAGAAGAAAAACATAACTTTAACAATAGAAAAATTAACATATTTATTTATTTTTAGTAGATATTCTAAACAAATACAATAGATCTCACACTTTTTATGACCTAATTGATTCCTGGAAATTCATTAAGCAAACTGTTTTGCTTCCTGTAAGTTCAATGTCATAAATTGAGATTACATTCCTGGAAATATAATTTTAACTATATAATATTACTCTGAGATGACCAAAAATAAAGCATTTAAATATGGCAATTCATATAAGCATAGTAGAAAATATATACTTGAAGAGTTGTAAACCAAGATATGATAAAGTAGGGTTCATTGTACATTTGTTTTTTAAAATTCAAGCATACGTAAAGCAATTACTAGATATATATATATTATTTTATTTTATTTTATTAATAAATTTTAATTTACAATTTTATAAAATAAATATGAATTTTCAGATATGAATACAGATGGGCAGATGGCTGTAGGTATAAAAAACCAACTCCTTTTCCTGCACCACAATATATCACTCTTTTAATGGACTGGGTAGAAACACAAATAAATAATGAAGAAATATTTCCAGTAACTGTTGGTAAGATTTTTTTGGTCATACTTTTTCATTTATGATGATGATTTATGGTAAATGAAAGCATTTAAAAAAATTGATTCTTAATGATAGCTTAAATAAAAAAATTTATTCTCTGTTCTCTAATTTATTTGATATCTTTTGAGGATTGTCAAATTCTCTATTTTTGTCTCAAAGGACTCTTAAAGCATTGAATTAAAAACAACAGATTCAACTATATTAAATTTTAAAAATAAAATTAGATAAAAACTGATTCCAATCTAAAAATATATTTGAATTTTCATTTTATATTGTTTAAAATTTAATTTTTTCTGTAAAAAGAGAATTAGGAACAACTTTCTGACCCATAAAAATAAGTGAGAGTATTATTAAATACATCATTAATCCAGATACCAACAATATGTTGTCATTGGTCATATATTAGCCAGTTTGATGGTAGTCATTTTGATGAAATATTCTTGACATTATTTTATAAGTATATTAGTTAAAACCTGAAGCATAACATAGACTAATTTACTGATTTGGTTATATTAAGATTAGATAAGTCATAACAAATATTTAACAATTTTTATTTTTACAAGCCTATTCTAGTCCTTATCTATCAATATTCTATTTACATTATTTAACATTCATATAAAACAAAAATTGATATCTTTATAATTTTTTTATATTACAAAAATTATCAAACTAATTTTTACAAAGTGAATAGACAAATTATTTCATGATTTAAGACTAGTTTTTTTCATTTATTAAAAGTTATTTTGTATAATAAAATAACTTTTTATATGTTGATTTTCTAATAAAATTATGCTATAAATTTTTCAAAGTAAGGAAAGTTATCTTTAAGAATTTTATTTATTATTCAGTTTGTTTTATGTTATGAAAAATTTGTCCTCAATTATTTTTGAAAGTTTTCCAAAATTTTTATGCTGCTTGTTATAGTGAGAAAACAAATTCAAACTTAAAATGTTAATAAAATGATTATAAAGTAATTCATTTGATAACTTTTATCATTTGATGAAATCATTTAAAAAGTATAATAGTGTAAATTATAAAAATGGAAAAGATGATGATAATATTTTTAAAAAAATTAAATTTTATATAAAAGTGCATATTTATAATTTTAATATTATCAGTACTAGATTTAAGAAAAGAGTTTAAACTTTTAGAGATTACTTAAAATAAATGAACAAATATGAATTTTTCTTACATTCTTTTGATTATTAAAATTGATGATTACTAGAGATGAGTGAACACTATCTACAAATACTTTAATCCTCATATATTAGAAACTATTTGTAATCTCAAATAAATTTGGTTACTTCAAATACCATACATACATATGTACTGTATGTAGTTACAGATTCAGAAGTATACAAAGGGAGCACTAAATTAAAATATATGAGGTTCCAAAAATTGAGTCAAAATTTCGATTAATTATAAAACTCCTAAGTCAGGAAATTTCAGAGGTCAAATCAGATGTGTCGGTGAGATAGACTCAACAGAAAGGAAAATGCTTGTTCTAAAACAAATGTGACGTGGTGACGAATGACGGAGGAGATGTTGACTGAGTGAGAGGGAGCTTTGTCAGGGTGCTCGTATACAAGAGTCGGGGTGTAAACAATCGAGAAAAGGGGGAAACTAATGACCAAAAGGACATCTGTTAAATCACATAGACCCTAAACCATTTGTGGGGGTACATGGCTGCAAAAACATCTGGCAAATCGGTTAAGTTTAAAAATGTTGGAGAAAGACAATAATGGAGTAAAATATGAGCACAGACTTCAAAGCTCTGTCAACACCTCTAAGATCTTTCCCACAACCCAAATCAGTCTCGATTTCTCCTGGAGACAGAAGAATGGCCAATTGGGGTCACACAGGACCAATCAAAAGGGGAAAACTTGAGGGGAAATCATATAAAATTTTGGACTCAAAGAGAAGAGAGAGTTCTCTTCCAGCCAAGTGTGCTCGTAAGTGACCCAGGAACCCAGTCCATCCCTCTGCATCACCTGACGGAGTCTCCCCACTCATCCTACGGATCCATGTCCACTAGTGCCTCGGCCATCTCAAGTGTCACACCTTGTTCAACATCCGATGCCCATAACTTCCCCAACTCAAGTCAATCTAGATTGCATCATTATGTAAGTTAATTTTTATGTTAAAATAAACGGTTCTTGTAAGACACTTGTCATGGTTGCCTCTACTACTACCACCACCACCACCACCCACATAAGATCAGACCCTAGGTTTTTCCCTGACGCACAATTAACTTATTGCCCCTAAAAGTTGGCATCTTACATATATGAATAATTAATAAGTACGGTACCTAGTATTAACACATGCACATCAGTTGTATTATAGATAGTCCGACCAAATTTGCTATCATAAATGTTTTAAAAATAACATTTTGAATTTAATTAAACCCACAATTGCCATAAATAATTGGGGTATGTGATGACTGACTGAGTGCCTTGAGTGGATGTTTCTGGCCAAGGGCATGGGTGTGTCACCAGTCGGCACCATATTAACTGTTGATGGTTATACATTAGGCTTATATATACTGGAAGGGGAGATCAGACCAAAGGTATGGGTAGCGTAATTGCACGGTAAGTGGAAGTTGCGGGTTCGAGTCCCGCTTTGGGCTGATTCTTTTCTTCCAGTTTATTCTTAATTAATTAATTAAATATTATAATTATTAAATTTAATACGAGATGGTGCCTAATGCCTCTCTCTAGTACCAAATTTATTTGTGAATGATAATTAATATTTCCAAATTATAGCCCGATTATTTACGGCAATCATGGGTTTAACACTTTGAAGTTTGAACAAACAAATTTTAATTTTGTTTTTGTCAACAATCTCTCTTATATGGCATCTTAAAATGTCTCAGCCATCTGGACTATATAAGGTAATTGAATTCACTAAGTCTTCAAGGTATTTGAATATTCAAGATCTGGTTAATATTTGAATTTGAGAAAAGTGATATTCACTCATCTCTAACATCTCACTCAAATGATATTTGTCTAATAAATATTAATTAATACATACTGTAATAACCTAAGAAATTATGCAAAATCCTGTGTACATTAAAAAAAAGGAAAAATTGTATCTAGATATAAAAAGAAAATCATTTTCTCCCTGTAACAAGGCTTGCTTTCGTTTAATACAATGAACAATATTATTATTATGTTGGGTTTAGTGATACTCGGTTGACACCTGTTGCTGTGTACTATGCCAGACCAGAGTCAAGGCAAAGCAACCAAAACAAGACAAAATTAAATAAGTATGTTAGTGTATGTATCTGCATTCAGGAATTTCCTAACAAATATTACAGTAGAGCCTCGAAAACTCGGCACTCGATAACCCGGCACTCCGGATAACTCGGCCACACCCTGGCAGGGCAAAAAAAATCCTTAGTTAATTAATTTTCTTGATAAAGACAGCTTTATGCCTCATAAAGTATTTTTCTGAGGTCTGTCTTATCAGGTAAATTACTGTACACAGTGTCTTATCAGGTAAATTACTGTATTCATTAATTTTCATTTTCATGTAGTAAAGGCTCTATGCCTTCATAAAAGACGTATTTTTCCTTTGTTTAAGGGTATTTGGGCAGTATATTTTCTGTTGTATTCTCAAGTAAACAATACATACAAGTACAGTACAGTATTTTCTGAGGAAACACTCATACTTATTTTTTTAACCCCATTCTCGATAATCCGGCATTTTCACAAACTCGGCCACCCTTCGGTCCACATTAGGCCGAGTTTTCGAGGCTCTACTGTATTATTATATTTGTCTAAATATATGCTTATCACAAAAATAATTAATCTTTTTTGATTTGTAATGTTCAGAGCAAAATCAAATACATATATTAACTTTTCGTACTTATAATCACTTTTCATGAATAAAATCTTACAACCTTATCAGCTGGAAACTAAAAGATTTTGTCTAAAGACAAAATATATAATTTCTGATTGATTCACCTTAATGTATAAAAAAAATATATTTATGCACCTTAACCTTGAATTTCTATTTTATATATGTTCTATATACAGTAAAGTTACATTAAAAATTTGTTATGCTCAATTTTTAGTTTCTAATTTTTTTCAATTTTTTTAAAATTTATAATATAGCATAGGTTTGGTTAAAAATATTTAGAATTAACTGGTTTGGTTTCTTTAAAATTTTTCGTTTTGTTTTGTATTGTATTGTTTATTATTATTGTGTTGGGTTATGTGAGATATACTCGGTTAACACCAGTGGCTTTGTACTATGCCAGACCAAAGTCAAGGCATAGTAACCAAAACAAAAATTAAAAAAGTGTATCTCTCTCTTTACCTTTTCATGCTAGGTACAGTACAGTAGAGTCTGTTTATTCAATTAGAATATGAAATAATTACACCCACATACCAAAAAACCAGCAAAAATGTATATATTTTAAGAAAAACAAACACTTTCTTCTGTTTTAAAAGATTCTCAGGTTAGAAGAAATGAAAAAGAATATTCTAAAAATAAAACACTAGTACAAATTTAAAATGTAGAAAGCACTGTTTTTTTTATATCATTGTCTACATTGGACTTAATATATTAATAGGACTTATTATACTGTTGTTGTTTCACTTTTTGCAAATATAGATCTTATTCACAAAAATAAAATCTTTATTTTTTATCTGGTTTTTCTACACACTGTTTTTGCGTTTCTGACCTCAAGGCCCTTCTTCAGCAGATCTACAATAATAATATTAGGTTTCTTGTTTTCTGTTATCAATATATCAATATATACATAAATTATCCATAAAAGGATTTTTAACATTATTTTATCTTTTAAAGGAAATTGCTCATTCACCACTTTTTATCCTATCTATGAAGACTTAGTCTACATACAGTCCCTTTTGTAGAATAAGGAAGTTCTATTGTACTGTACATGCTAAGGCTGAAAACAGCTTTTTCTCAATCTGATTATTGTATCATTATTTTCAGAAGAATAACTGCCTGTAAATAATGATACAATAATCAAAACTATAAATGTATTTTAATTAAAATTTTATTAGTATTTTTGGGTCATGCTAATTCTGATAATGTTAAATCACTTAACATTATCTGGAATTACAAATAAGTAGAGTTTACCCGCATTTGAATTAAAAACTAATTTATAACAAAAATATTAAACTGTAGATTATTTTTCATTAACATCAAAATATTACATCTAAGAACAGACCAATACAGTGGTACCTCAGGTTACGAATGCCCCAGCATACGAAATTTTCAGGATACGACATGAAATTCGAACATATTTTTGCTCCACGATACGAACAAAAACTCACCATATGACGTTTCATTAGTTCGCATTTTTCATTCGTTTTTCTTACTACAGTTATCTTTTTAAATGTATTACTTGGCTTTAATTTAAGTATGTTTTTCGCGTTGAAACGAATTATTTAGTTTTACATGTAATCGTATGGGAATAGATGATTCACCTTACGACATTTTCATGATACGATCTCAGTTTCGGAACGGATTAATTTCGTATCCTGAGGTACCACTGTATTGGAATTTTTAATAAATTACATTTTAATAATAATTGTATTAATAATAGACGGAAATATAAACCTAATTAAGTTAATATCTTAGTCAAATATATTATTTCTAGATTATAACAATATTTTTCAAATTTCAAAACTTTGATTTCTTTTTAGATATTCCTTTCCCAAAAACATTTGTACCAACTTGCAAGAAAATTCTCACAAGACTTTTTCGTGTTTTCGTTCATGTTTATATTCATCATTTCGATAGAATATTTTCTCTCGGAGCTGTAAGTTATATAAAATATTAATACTTTTTATAAGACACTACAACTTTATAATACATTTTAATCAAGTTTTAAATATATTTAATATTTATATATTTTTTTAATATGAATAATATATAAATAAATTTAAAATATTGTACATGTAATATTTCTATTATATAATATTTATTGAATAAGGTCATTATTATCTTATAATATACATTTATTATATTATATTATTGCACTTTAAATTTAAGAAAACTATATAAAGTATTATCCTTAAAGATTTTCAGAATACTTTATATATATTGTTTCAAAAAATATTTATTAGACAGATGGTCGTGTAATAAAAGTTGTGATGGTTTTGGATTTGAATCCAATCCAATTTATTTTTCTTGAAAAAGGTTGGAGTCCAAAATAGATAAATAAATATCATATTTATTCTAATAAACGGTGCAATTGTGAGTTGAAAAACAGTTGCCATTTGTTAGTAAATATGGTATGTTTTACGGATCCTATGTAATTTTTTTGAATTAGAATTAACTAATTCAGATATCAATAATTTTAATAATGAGATATTAATTTAAAAAGTTATATTATCGATCATTAACTAGTTTTATATTATAGTTTATGGCAAATTTTTTGAAGTTTAAATACTTTGTGATTTTATAACTAATACTGAAAATAATTTCAATATATTAATAGGAACCTCACATTAATACTTGCTACAAGCATTTCTATTATTTTATAAGAGAATATGATTTGGTCAGTCCAAAGGAGTTAGAACCATTAGTAAGTCATATTATTTTTAAAATTATTTAAACTTAAGATTAACATCAAGGCATGAGAACTATAATTCCAATTTAATGAAACTCAAAAATATTAAATACAATAGACATTGCTTATTGTAATCACTTTCAGACTCGTTTATACAAGATGATAACTGAATGGTAACATTAAATAGGATAAGTAAATAAGTTAAAATTAGTATAAATTATGATTTTATTGACTCTGACATTTAAAGGACATGTAAAACAATCAAAAAATTATATAATTTGAAGATTTATTATTAAGTGCATTATCAGCCACACCTTGATAGTATGAAAAGCAAACTTAAAATATTTATTATTCTGCTGGTAATGATGATTAGAACTGAAATTTGATTATAATAAGCAAAGTTTAAAGCTTTGTAAATGTATTTTGATTTATAAGAGTTAGTATGTCTAAAACATACTAATTCTTACAAATCAGTTGACTGTTAACAATTTCACAATTTACAATAAGCGTAATCTACCTGCATATATGTATATAAATGTATTTTAATTAAAATTTTATTAGTATTTTTGGGTCATGCTAATTCTGATAATGTTAAATCACTTAACATTATCTGGAATTACAAATAAGTAGAGTTTACCCGCATTTGAATTAAAAACTAATTTATAACAAAAATATTAAACTGTAGATTATTTTTCATTAACATCAAAATATTACATCTAAGAACAGACCAATACAGTGGTACCTCAGGTTACGAATGCCCCAGCATACGAAATTTTCAGGATACGACATGAAATTCGAACATATTTTTGCTCCACGATACGAACAAAAACTNATATATGTATATAAATGTATTTTATATTCAGTTTAAGTATGTAGTTTTTATATTACTATTTATTTTTTCAAAAAAAACTTAAACTAGTGCATAATTTTAATCCATTAAAATTATATATATGTTAAATTATTGTTAATTATAAGTTTGAAGAGAACATTTTTAGTAATAGTTTAATTAAAAATTACTGTTTATAATAAAACTGAGATATTAAATCAAATTTTTTGAGACTTGTAAATATTAAATTCTTTCCTTCAAAAACCTTCAAAAAGCAGTCTTTTTATTTTATCGTCTAATGTTTTTGGCAGCTAATTGACCTTCTTTGGGAAAGAATTGAACAATACCAATTTTAATCAAACAAAACCTATTATGGAACATTTTTAAACTTAATGTCTAGTGTGCAAGTCTGTGAATAGATAATTAAAATACGAGGGATAACGTACAAACATAAAAACATACAAATAAAAGTAAATAATAAAAATAAATATAAATAATAAAATAATACTTTCCTTGTATTTTAATTATCTATTCACAGACTTTCACACTAGAAGTTAAGAAAGTTTAAAAGTTTATTATAGGTTTCGTTCAGTTAAAATCGGAATTGTTCGATTCTTTTCTGAAGAAGGCCAATTAACTGACTGAAAATGTTAGATGATATAACAAAAAGACTGCATTTTAAAGGTTTTTGAAGATTTTGTTGTTTGTAAGTGCAGTTAGAGAAGATTTAAATTCTTTGACTAGAACTACAGTGGATGCCCTGAAAGTAATGCAATACAGTTATATTCTTCATAAAATTTGATTATATACCAAATATTTCAAATATCTCATAATTATGTATATAATTGCAATGCTACCAGCCAAATAGCAATGAGTAGTCTTTATGAATTTATAATATCTGTGAGTGAAGCATGTTCTAAACAGAGATGCCAAAGAAAAGTTCAAGCAGATTTTTTCCATACAATGCTTCACCCTGGCAATATGAAGCTAAATATAAGCCTGTGTACCTGAAATGGTATCACAAAATCTTTGATGGACTGTTCTGTTTTGCTCATCTGTGTAAAAGGACCAAAAAGACATAATTTACAGGAAATAGTTTTTGATAAAGAAGTAAATCTGTAGAAAAAGTAGTTTTTACAAAGATTTGCAGGGTGATAGTGCAAAGGCTTTCATACCTTAATGGCATGTTGGATTTGAAAGAAAACTGTTAAAAACTAGTTTTGTGGTAATCAAAGATTCAATTGAAAATGTGACATAGTTCGAGTTAAAAACAGAAAGTAAATTATGAATGAGAAAAAAACCTATTGCATTATTTTCTGGTTAATCCTTATAAAATGAATCAATTTTATGTTAGTAGAATTAGCAATACAAACTGTTGTCATTTGTACTTTTTTATGATACAATGTGATTTATTTGAATATATAATAGATACATTTGAGTCCATTTTAAGAGCTACTTTGGGATCACTGTATTATACTCTCTTAATCACACTGCTCTCTCATCCAAAGTAACAAGTTCATCCAGGGAGTTGTTAATTGAATTTGATTCTCTTTACTTTTACATGTCTTCAGAGTTATATGTAACTTATAACACACTTGAAAAAGTTAAAATTCATTATCATGCAATTTTATTGTACTTGCATATTTCAATTCTTATATCATCAATTTTATTGTTCTATCCAACAATTGGTAAATACAGCATATTTACTAGTTGCATTACTTTCACTTATTCCTAGAAATAGAGTAGGAAGCTTTGCTGAAAAGCTGTGAACATCCTTGATCCAAAATTTTTAAATGCTCTCAAATGGAATGTACAATATAAAAACAAATAAGTACAGTACCACCTTAAAGTAAGGTCATATGATCTTCAAAATATGGTTATTTAATTAATTCTTGCCTTGATCCCTTAAGACAAGGATGTACATGTGAACTTCACTGTTTTTTCATACATATTTCATAAAAACTTTTAAATTACACATTAATGTTTGGGTCCAGTAAACCAGTTTATGATGATTCTGTATTAAATTTTTTTATTCATGTATTAGAAAACTGACCAATGAAAGGTTTAATCAAATTCCACAACATATGTATAGTATAGTGCAATTCCTGTTGCCATGTTAGAGATTAAAGATAGGATCCTTATAAATCTATCTTAGAATAGTGCTACCTTATGAAGACTGCTGCTCTAAAAATGCTGCTGACATGTCATTTAAACAGACTGCTCTACAAAGTGGTAATCTGTTAATAGGAGTCATTCTGTTGTAAAGTATAGGAAAGAAGATTGGAAATATAAATGAGTGCTCTTAAGTAAAATGCTCCCTTATCTGAAGCTCTATTAAGTGGACTTAACTGTATTAGTGTTTTCTATAACAATATTTTTTAACATTATAAAAAGTTCCCATAGAGAATTATTGTATATCAAACATCTTTCATTTTTAATATTTTCATTTAAACTTTATTAATAAAATTTTATCTCATTATTAGATTATCATAATATATAGAGAATATCGACTTTCTCTAATTTCGTCTTTCACAGTAACATATATAAACATATACCCAGTTCTGTTTTAACATGGTAAACAATGTTCAAAAAATCTGTAAAAACAATATTGTCTATATGGAAGATTAGCCCTTAAAAACAGTAAAAATAATATGATAAATTAATTAATATAATAGGAAGTGTTTAAACAAAATATTTCAATTTTAGTTTATAAATAAGAGGAGAGACAATTGTAGTTTACTTATCAGCTAATTTTAATAAATTTATTATTTGCATAAATTTTATTCAAGTTTTTCAATTAAACACCAAAATAACTTTAGTTTTTAACACCAAATGACATACAAAAATATTCTGTATTGAAAGAAATCAGAAGAAATAGTCATACAAATAAATCATTAGACTTCAAATTAACATTTTTTTGACTGCTTCACTCATAGGATAAAATCAAAAATGAAAGAGTGATTGTTGCTACACACATTCGAATAATTCATAAACAAAAACAGTCAAATCTTAAAACTTACCTCAACATGTGTAGCAGCATAAAATGCAAAGTCAAAAAAATAAAAGAGCAATTTTCTGGAAAAGGAAGTATGAATATTTTTTTCTCTTAGGTGTAAAATCAAATGGTGATTTTTTTTTTTAAAAAAAGATAAATTTATTGAAATATAATAGGTGAAAACAAAAAGAGATTTGAATTTTTTTTCCAGATATTGTTAAAAAATCATTTAAAAACAGAATTGGGTGCATCTTATCATCATTAATAATCAAAATTATTTTATAACTCTTCAGGATTTTTGGTATACTGCTTTTCACTACATAAAATATTTTTAGCAAATTTATTAATGTATTTATTCGTTAAATTTTATATTTTAAAAAAATGTTATAGTTAGTTTTATCAACAAATATGTATGTATAATATCTAGTGGTATTTTTTAAAAACATATATAAAAATCTTAATTTTAACATTTTGTTTTAATTATACATAATAAATATATTTTTTCTTTTTATTCCTTTAGGCAGACATGACAAAAAGAATATGCAGAGAAACTTTCTCTCGATATAGATGAAAAAATAAAGTTTGTCAAAAATATCATTGTATCTATTGTATAGTTATCAGAAAGAAATATTACTACTTGCTAAAATATGTTGCTGTTCCAATATTCAAAGAAAATATATCGGCATTTTTGCTCTAATAGAATTATTACTATTACAAATTAAATATGTTCAAATGCTGAAAAGCTAATAACCTGTAGAAATATAATTTATTAACATTGTGATATATTTCCAGTGATAACGTTGTGATTGGAATGTTTAAAAAATGAAATTTAGATATTCATATTTTTATCATCAATATTTATATATTNGCTTTCATACCTTAATGGCATGTTGGATTTGAAAGAAAACTGTTAAAAACTAGTTTTGTGGTAATCAAAGATTCAATTGAAAATGTGACATAGTTCGAGTTAAAAACAGAAAGTAAATTATGAATGAGAAAAAAACCTATTGCATTATTTTCTGGTTAATCCTTATAAAATGAATCAATTTTATGTTAGTAGAATTAGCAATACAAACTGTTGTCATTTGTACTTTTTTATGATACAATGTGATTTATTTGAATATATAATAGATACATTTGAGTCCATTTTAAGAGCTACTTTGGGATCACTGTATTATACTCTCTTAATCACACTGCTCTCTCATCCAAAGTAACAAGTTCATCCAGGGAGTTGTTAATTGAATTTGATTCTCTTTACTTTTACATGTCTTCAGAGTTATATGTAACTTATAACACACTTGAAAAAGTTAAAATTCATTATCATGCAATTTTATTGTACTTGCATATTTCAATTCTTATATCATCAATTTTATTGTTCTATCCAACAATTGGTAAATACAGCATATTTACTAGTTGCATTACTTTCACTTATTCCTAGAAATAGAGTAGGAAGCTTTGCTGAAAAGCTGTGAACATCCTTGATCCAAAATTTTTAAATGCTCTCAAATGGAATGTACAATATAAAAACAAATAAGTACAGTACCACCTTAAAGTAAGGTCATATGATCTTCAAAATATGGTTATTTAATTAATTCTTGCCTTGATCCCTTAAGACAAGGATGTACATGTGAACTTCACTGTTTTTTCATACATATTTCATAAAAACTTTTAAATTACACATTAATGTTTGGGTCCAGTAAACCAGTTTATGATGATTCTGTATTAAATTTTTTTATTCATGTATTAGAAAACTGACCAATGAAAGGTTTAATCAAATTCCACAACATATGTATAGTATAGTGCAATTCCTGTTGCCATGTTAGAGATTAAAGATAGGATCCTTATAAATCTATCTTAGAATAGTGCTACCTTATGAAGACTGCTGCTCTAAAAATGCTGCTGACATGTCATTTAAACAGACTGCTCTACAAAGTGGTAATCTGTTAATAGGAGTCATTCTGTTGTAAAGTATAGGAAAGAAGATTGGAAATATAAATGAGTGCTCTTAAGTAAAATGCTCCCTTATCTGAAGCTCTATTAAGTGGACTTAACTGTATTAGTGTTTTCTATAACAATATTTTTTAACATTATAAAAAGTTCCCATAGAGAATTATTGTATATCAAACATCTTTCATTTTTAATATTTTCATTTAAACTTTATTAATAAAATTTTATCTCATTATTAGATTATCATAATATATAGAGAATATCGACTTTCTCTAATTTCGTCTTTCACAGTAACATATATAAACATATACCCAGTTCTGTTTTAACATGGTAAACAATGTTCAAAAAATCTGTAAAAACAATATTGTCTATATGGAAGATTAGCCCTTAAAAACAGTAAAAATAATATGATAAATTAATTAATATAATAGGAAGTGTTTAAACAAAATATTTCAATTTTAGTTTATAAATAAGAGGAGAGACAATTGTAGTTTACTTATCAGCTAATTTTAATAAATTTATTATTTGCATAAATTTTATTCAAGTTTTTCAATTAAACACCAAAATAACTTTAGTTTTTAACACCAAATGACATACAAAAATATTCTGTATTGAAAGAAATCAGAAGAAATAGTCATACAAATAAATCATTAGACTTCAAATTAACATTTTTTTGACTGCTTCACTCATAGGATAAAATCAAAAATGAAAGAGTGATTGTTGCTACACACATTCGAATAATTCATAAACAAAAACAGTCAAATCTTAAAACTTACCTCAACATGTGTAGCAGCATAAAATGCAAAGTCAAAAAAATAAAAGAGCAATTTTCTGGAAAAGGAAGTATGAATATTTTTTTCTCTTAGGTGTAAAATCAAATGGTGATTTTTTTTTTTAAAAAAAGATAAATTTATTGAAATATAATAGGTGAAAACAAAAAGAGATTTGAATTTTTTTTCCAGATATTGTTAAAAAATCATTTAAAAACAGAATTGGGTGCATCTTATCATCATTAATAATCAAAATTATTTTATAACTCTTCAGGATTTTTGGTATACTGCTTTTCACTACATAAAATATTTTTAGCAAATTTATTAATGTATTTATTCGTTAAATTTTATATTTTAAAAAAATGTTATAGTTAGTTTTATCAACAAATATGTATGTATAATATCTAGTGGTATTTTTTAAAAACATATATAAAAATCTTAATTTTAACATTTTGTTTTAATTATACATAATAAATATATTTTTTCTTTTTATTCCTTTAGGCAGACATGACAAAAAGAATATGCAGAGAAACTTTCTCTCGATATAGATGAAAAAATAAAGTTTGTCAAAAATATCATTGTATCTATTGTATAGTTATCAGAAAGAAATATTACTACTTGCTAAAATATGTTGCTGTTCCAATATTCAAAGAAAATATATCGGCATTTTTGCTCTAATAGAATTATTACTATTACAAATTAAATATGTTCAAATGCTGAAAAGCTAATAACCTGTAGAAATATAATTTATTAACATTGTGATATATTTCCAGTGATAACGTTGTGATTGGAATGTTTAAAAAATGAAATTTAGATATTCATATTTTTATCATCAATATTTATATATTTTTGATAGAAATTTAAATTAAAACAATGCAACAATCAAAATTTTTAATTATAACTTTGAAGACAAGGAGGAAAAAAATTAAATTTTCCTACAGAAAAATTGTTAGGAAATTACTTTAAATTTATTTTATTTTTTTAAAACTAAATATTCTATATAACAACAATAAATTTATTAAAAACAAAAAAAAAAGTAATTTATTTAATTCTAGTCATTTATATTTTTACAAGTTAGCTTAATGTTAATATTAATGAACACATTATTATGTAAAACAAGTGCAAAAGAAAATAATGTTTTATGAATTTCACTGAAATTTATATTTTTTATCTTAAATGTATGGTATATACTCTAATTTATATAGTATCATATATACATAGATTAAAGAGTGGTTAAAATGGGATTTAAGGTTTTTATAAATTGTATTATATTTAAACTTATTTTTATACTTTTATTTCGATAATCAGAAAAATTGAAAAGTATTCCAATTCTGTAAAAACAAGTATAGTTTGGTAAATTTTATTTTTAAATGCATTTACACTAAAGTGTTACCTAATTAATCATGTTAAATTGTAAAAAAAATTCTGTGTGTATAAGTTATTTATCAGGTTAATACTGTGCTTTTAAAAAATGTAACATGTATACAGCTTTCACTCATAAGAGAGGTTGCACCCGAAGTTTTCACCGTAAAAATGTGAACGCCGGACGTTCAACATCGCCATCCCATAAGCCTAGAAGTTTGACAATGGTGTTTGGAATGTCGATCATGATTCCACTGATGTTCCAAACTCCATTGTCAAACTTCTAGGCTCATGGAATGGCGGTGCTGAACGTCCAACTTTCACATTTTTGCAGTGAAAACTTTGGCCACAACCTCTCTATATATCAATACATTTTGAACTTAAGTTGTGTTATGAAACCAAATCAGTTTTAGAACAGTATCATCCAAAGCTGCACTTTTTTTTGAGAGAAGATGCTTCTAATGAACTATTTTAATTAAATAGAGAGGTTGAGGCAGACGTTTTAAACGTGTAAATGTGTAGGACGGACATTCGGTGCTGCTTTCCCGTAAGCCTAGAAGTTTGACAATGGTGTTTGGAATGTCGAGCGTGATTCCATCGACTATCCAAACACCATTGTCAAACTTTTAAGCTTACGGGAAAGCGGCGCCGAACGTCCGACCTACACGTTTACATGTTTAAAACGTCTGCCTCAACCTCTCTAATGTTGTTACAGTTTAAAATTGTTCAGAATCATAGATTATGTGAACTGTATTTTGTATTGAAATTTCTGCAGGATAAAAGAACATTAACTGTGTATTTATAATTCAATGCTTTTAGCACATTTGTATAATCAAAAACATTTTTATTTAAAAATCTGAAATAGTTTAATAGATACGAGGATAAAAATTGTTTTATGCTGTAATTATGAATTTTAAATAAAATATTTTTATTATTTGATTAGAATTATTATTAAAACTATATTAACAGTTGTTAAATACCTCATTGTTTAGTTAAACATAAATATAAATTTTTATAACAATTCAGAAAACTGTATATTATTAAAAATAAAAATACTTTTCTTGAATATACATATTTACATTTACTTAAAATTTTCTACGTACTTTAAAACAATCTCTAAACATATTGAATTCAACATAAAAATTATAAGAATTAAAGCATAAGATTTGAATTAAACTTTCTAAATTAATGAATTGATTAGAAATTTAAGAAATAATAATTGGGTTTACATAAGATAGCATCACCAGGTATTATTGTTTTGTAAAGTATTAAATTTTTATCTTAGAAGTGCCTTCAAATATATCAAAGTTCGATTATAATATAAAGAATTTTGTCTCAGGAATTCAGTGTACTGGGCGATCAAAAGGCCTTTGGTTTAGCAGCCATATATGGTGCTAAGAATGTAAAATTGATTTTATGAATTGGAGTGTCTGTATCTATCTTCCCATATTAATTTAGTGTTGATGTTTTTTGCTTTTCCTTATATATATACATGTATTAAGTCCTTGTTTACAAATGGCTACTATGCATACGGACTATATTCAAGTAATCCAGGACTTTTGGATCCCCAGTATTACACAGATGTGTAAAAATTACAAATATATTAACAATAAAAGAGTTAAAATTTTTATAAAAGAAAATACCATTACTTTAAAAGGAAACAATTTATCTTGTGTATTAATTTCAATACTTAAAAATTTCATTAAAATTTATCTTTCTGGTAAAAATATGAATTCTTTTACTCAGAACAAATATCTAGAATTAATTTATTTGATTTCATTTACAATAATATAAATGATGTTCAGTTGGACATTTAGTGTAGATAGCATATATACTGTGTCAGTAATTCATTATGCAATAACTTTAAAATGAAACTATAAAATACTTAAATTATACATTTTAAAAATTGAGCAAAAATTCTTCCTAGATATTTATAATGTTTAAAGTAAATTCTTCATATTCTCATTATTTTTTAGTTTATTAATAGGTCTCTAGATCTATTATCAAAGATCTCCTTTTAAAAAAGTAATATGCATTTATTGATAGTAGTAATTATTAAAAATAATATAGCCAGGAGTTAGCAGTTAAGTATATTGAGAAAAAATTTATAGTATATTACATCGTTTTATTCATTTATTAAATTTAGTTTATTTCAAATATGAATTATTTTTAACGTAATAACCAAGGCAGCAAACAATACCAGTTACTGTAACTCCAAATTAGATTAGAACCTCAAGGAATTTTTTGTGGATGTTTTAATTTGGAGATACTTGGATTCTCTATCTCATCTACTGATCAACCCCATTATGGGTCAGGCCTCTCCACAATGGTTTAATCTGAGGATGATAACATAGTAATGTCAAGTCATTCAAAACTGTTTTGAATTTTAATTTATAAACTGAATTATCAGTATTTTCAATTAATTGTTTCTTGATTAAGCAAATAAAAAAAATCTAATTAAACAAATGGTTTATAGTGTATTAAATCATAAAAGCACCTCCAGTAAGATTCAGCCAAAATTTTTTACTTGGAACATAAAAATAGCAATATATTCATTCAAGTATTTCAGCTTGCCAGTATGCATCCTCAGAACATTTAGCTTCAGAATATTGTTATTTAAAAGTATTTTTATGTTCCAAATAATACATCTTAGTTTGAATAAAGTAATTCATATACAAATTGGATGCCATAGCTTTGACATGTTTTTTTTTCTTTATTTAAAGTACACAAGTTTATGTCTCCAGCCAAAGATAAAGCAGTATAAAATAGTAACTGTAATGGTTAAAATTAATAAATTATGGGCCCAATAGTCATATTCGAGATGTTATAATAGAGTAATAATTACTTAAATCAATTTAATGATGTATTATATTTAAATACATCACAAAAATTGGTTTAAGTAATTATAAAATTATATTTTGACTTAAAAAACACCTGTGGAGAAGAATTTCACTTTTGTCTAAATTTAACATTCAGAGCATCACTCAGCTGTTGTTTACATTGGCGATACGTAACATAGTAACGTAAAAAAATAAATAAATATTATTTTATTTTTACTAAACACTAGATATTTTTAATTATTTCAAAGTTTCCAGTCATAGAACGGTTTCATTACTTCGATGTTAATTGATACTAAAAGCGATCGCAGCCCCTCCCATGCAGATGGAGGCGGATGGACGTCAGTGACGTCATTAGCTCCGATCGTCGAGTGGAGTCGAGGAAGGTTTGTTTTGGTGGAAAAGTCGAAATATGGCTCGTCTAATGGATAATATAATATTTTAATTAATTCCTTTGAATAAAAACTCTTAATTGTTTTTATTCTCTTCAACAAGATATTCTTTAATGGCGGCTGCTAGTCGAAAATTATCGTAAGTGAACATTTAAATCCTCTTACGTAAATCATATTTTGAATTTTATTTTATTTATTCTAATTTAAGTTGCATTAATAATAAATTTAAAAAGGCATATATAATTTGTATTTATTTAAATGTATGTGTTAGATATACAATATATTATTACGTATTTTAAAAATTTGAAAAATTTGTCAATTTCATAACTGAATGTGTTTTTAAGTTACTCATGTTATAAATATTAAATTGTTTATACTGTATTACAGCTTTTATATAGGAATGATTCAAATTGTTATCATCTCATACAAATACTTTTATTATAAATGTACAGAAAAAATAAATTTCTTTAAAAGAAATTAATCATTATATTTAATGAGGTTGTTACATTTCATCCTAATGATTTGAGAAAGTTTTCATTTGTTTTGTTATTTAATCAGACTGAAGTAATTTAAAACTAAACATCAAGTCTGCTTTAAGATAACTTTCAACAAAATATTTTATAAATTTAATTTAATTCACAGTACATTGATTTTCAAGAATTTTTGTAAAATTGCCTGAAAATTTTTATTTTTATTAATCCATAATTCAAAATATTTTTTAATATATTATCAAGTATTAAGTTTTATATTTGTTCAATTGGTGTGTTAAATATAGTCTTCATTATGAAACAGTCTTCTCTCTGTTGATAATTTGTGAAGTTTTATTATTATTTAACAAGTAATAAATCAAACATGAGTTAATTCTGTTTTAATATTTTTATATTAAAAAAAAAAATATATCCTATTAAAACTATGTCTGAGTCAATGAATAAAATAAATAAATAAATAAACTGAAAATTGAATTGGAACCTGACTGATACAGTTGAAAATGTTTACTAGAAATCAGTGTTGGGTTTTAAAGGTTTTATTTACTTTTAGAATCAAAAACATTGAATTTTGTTACTTTAAATATAAATTTTATATTGTAAAAATATTGAAGAATATTTAATAATGAATGCAATGATAAATTTTATGATTTTATGCTTAACTACTATAGCAATTTATCACTGATAATTTTGGATATTACTATAAATGGAAGTAACTATCAAAAGTTATATTTATTGAAGAGAATTTTGAATTTTTAAACATACAGTATATTAACATAATTTTAAAAAAATAATGATTTTCTTCTTACAAGCTTGTTATTAAGCTTAAAGTTTGACAGCTTGAACTAATATTTTAAAACAGTCATTATTTTGATTACAATTATAATTTTTATTCAGCGTGGTGCTGTTGTTAATTAGTTTAAAGCAAATGATGAAAACTTCATAGAATAAAGAGGAAATTAAATAAACTAATTTTATAAATATTATTTTTAAATGTGATCGTATTCTCAGAAATACTATTTTTCTTTTTCAGTTTTATGAAACTGAATAAAATTTATTCAAATGAATTTAAATAGAATTTATAATATTGTCATAAAAATTTATGATCTTGTAGATTTTTTAATTAGTAAAATTTAACATCTTTGTATTGAATTGAATGAATGATCACTGGAAATACTTTGTGATCACTGGAGCAAAGATGATTTAAATTTTTTTTTTCATACTTAAGAATAAGTTTTTATGAATATAGTAGAAATAATAATGAAGTTTAAACATATGGAACTAAAATTTAAATACTTTATATTAAATTTTAACAATCTTATGACGAAAAGTTAAAATTTATATAGAACTAATTAAAATTAACAATAAAATAGACTTATAATTGTAAGTAATATCAATGGTTGAATGATCATAATTGCTTGAAAGCAATTCATATTGAAGATAGTCATTTAAATCATAAAGATGTTTTAAAAATCATATGAATATAAATTGTATTAATGAATATAATCAAAAAATTTTAATGGAGTGAAACACAAGATAGCAAAAATAGTATCAAACATTAATACTTTTTAGTTAATTCTCATTGATTTGCTAAAATTAAATATATTCCATTAACATACTTTTTCCTAGATTATCATCTGTAAATATCTGGTTAATTTGCTGCTTACCGGAATTTCATTTGATATAGACTGATATTGATTTAAATAAGTGTCCTGAAAATAGAAATTTTATAATATTTGGCTTTGGTTGGTGTATAGAAATTTTATAGATGAAATTTTTATATTCTTAAGAAAATCCTGTACGTGTTGTTACTACTAAGTAATTAGAGTGAAGAATGGAATAATGTTTGATATTTATGTAATAGGACTTAAAATACTATTTTTGTTTGAACAATTTTTAAATCTATAATAAAGATGTTCATGCACTCAATTACTTATTGAATAAAATATGATTAATAAAAGATTGTATCAAATTAATATTTTAAAAATACCATAATTCTTTTATTACATAAGATATCATTTGAAATACACTCCAATGTCATCTCTCAAAGTTAATTTGGATAAAGATTTGGAATATGTAAACTTATTATTTACAAAAGTAGTATTAAATTTTAAAAATACATATTAAAATTAAAAAAAATTATTATATCAATAATTTTATTCTATTTGTTAGGTTTGCTAATTATTTTTTCTTAACACTTTTTTATTAGGACATTTTTCCGTGTCTTTGGATGTTTTTTATCAACATAGTTCATCATCTACAAATTTTAAATTCCAGATTTTCATAAATATATAATTTAGGAAATGATATTGTTTATTTTTTAATGGTATTACATTATTTGATTCTCATCTTGAATAATTTCATATGACAAAAATATTTACTTAAATTTGTATTTGAATTTTAACTTATAATTCTATATTCCTATTTTCTTAGATTTTTCCCCTTCTTAGCTATAAAATAAAAAGATTATATAAAGTTTCATCATCAGATAATGAATTATTTGTTATAAATTTTGTAGGAAATATTTTGGTTATCATAATTTCAAAATCATTGGTGACAAGTTTCATTCAGATGGTATGTTCTTCATTTTTAACAGTATACACTTGTACACAAATCTGTAGTATTCAGTTTCTGACATGGATTATAATTTTTTCTTCTCGTTACATTTTTTCAGAGGGCACTCTGAAAAATTGTAACGAGTGGAGCAAGTTTCAACAGTTCAAATTTTAATGCTTGCATTATGTATTTATGAGTTTATAATATTGCACAATCAAACATGTCTGAAGTAGGTTTAGTGGTGAGAAATAAATTTGTATGGGCAATGGTATATAATGGGTCGGCAACCTATGACAAGCGTGCCAAACTTGGCACTTGGGATGATTTTCAGTGGCCCTCTAATTAAATAGAAATGTAGTAAAGTTATATTTTAATTATTAATTACACATTTCAGTGGAAACTATAGTTCAGAGTAGGCCATGATACATTAAAAACAATCTCTTGCTTGTATATTTATATTATAGTGCATGTGTTTATGCTCAGAGTTGACAGAAACCCGATTTTATAAAGTAATTTGCAATAGCACTTTGTGAAACTTCATTTCAAGCATGTTAATCAATTGCATTGCATCTAATGGGTTTACTCCAAACTTATATGAGCCATCTCCAATACTGTAGCAACATTTAATAATAATACAATAAATATAAGTACAACTTTTAACAAAGATGAAACCTTTGCTTCAGTCATTTCCTTCCATTGTTCGCACCACCAGCAGTTTGTAAAAATCACAAAACTCACAGAGACGACCTTCCTTTGTAGTTGTACTTATATTTATTATATTATTATTAAACATAAATAACCGTTGGCCATGTTAAACTTATTATTAATTTTACTGTAGCAACATCTTTCATACAATAAACTTTTTGTATTGTAATTTAGATCAGGAAAGCATTCAAAACTTTAAAGTTTATAATTGAGAAGTTATATTTAATGATAAAAATTGAACTGTTATAGCTTTTAGAGTGGAAATCATCAAGTGTGCATGGCAGTTGTGTATTCCATAAACAAAACTTATTCTTTTTATAACAGCTTTTAAACAACTCAATCCACGATGTTGAAGTCTTTGCTACTCAGATGTCTTTTCGACATATCTTATACTTTATGCATGTTCTGGGCTGTTTTATGGCCTTATTCTTTCTAAAACATGCTTATTTAAAACTGTTTTCCTTCCACGCACTGATGCACAAAAGGATTTTTAAATAACATTTGAAAACGAAAAATCAGTTAAACCGTTGGAAATATTGTTCGATAACTTCGAAAATTCAAAATTTGTGAAACTCGGATTAGAGTTCAAAAATCTTAACCTGTTGTATTTGATAGATCGCCTGAAGACGGTAGTTATATACTACTGAAAGTACTAGCGGACGAGTTCATTTTCTAAAGTCAAAAAACTTATTCTTTGTAATCACACAGCTGTCTTAACTTTTTTCAGATAGAAGAAAGCCCTGGCATCATTGATGCTTTCTTTTGTGTTGCATATTGTTTTGTGCTACTTATTGTATAAGTATAATCTTGACGTTGCAGAAACATTGAGGGCTTAAAGATTTTCCAATTAATAATGATGGCAATTTTTCATTACTTGTCATATGTCATGCTTACTCTCATAAGAAGAATGAAATATTTTTTTTCCTGTGACAAGTCATTTTTGAACATCATTATTTTTCTGGTAGACATTTTAAAAAAAAGAAGCCTGTTTTGTCTACATTGAAAGCATTGTTTGGCTATAATTCTGTACAATTTCTAGTAAATTTTTCAATTACTTTACTTAACCCTTCTCTTGCACTTCTATACTTTCACCACAGATTTTATTGGAAACTATTCCATTCCTCCTCTTAAATTTATCTTCCAGCCTTTTACTGCTTGCTTTGAATCCGATGTGTCTCAACTGTTGTTTGACTTGTTCAATTTTTTTTAGGAAGTTTTCCATTGACAGGAATATTCTATCACTACATTATTCGAACTGGTTCAGCATACACCTTTTCAGAATCTGGATACTCACATTTACATTTACTTCTCTGTTCTGTCTGCTTCTGTTTTGTTGAAGCTTTCCAAAATCTTCATTTTTCAGGTATGTAGCAAAACTATTCAATGAAATGTT